TCCAGTGTGATGCCACAGAAACACAGTACTTGGAGAAATTGTCAAATTTGTTAAGACTGGGAAAGAGATAAGTCAAAGGCTTCTAACATTATACAAATGAGGCTAATTAATTTAATGATTAAGATCTTGGGAGAATAAAACTCTTAACTTTTATTAATTACTCATCATTTAAAATTTTAATTTTTAAAATATCACTTCATTCAAAAATGTTTTGAATAAAATTAAACAGAAAAACTTGACAAGTATAATAAGTCAATATTTTATAGTGAAGTTGTGTTAAAGTTAATTATGTAATGAACTTAATTGACATGGGCAGCATCTTAAAGGTGCTGTGCAAGATTTCCAGCCTAATCCCTGGGACTGTGACTACGACAAAATATCACACACCTGGTTGTGTTACACTGCCTGGCGAAAGGGATTTTGCTGACGCATTAAGGTTACCAGTCAGCTGACTCTAAGTTAATTAAAAGAGAATTTATCGAGGCAAGCCTAATCTAACCACACGAGCCCTTCAAAAGCAGAGTCTTCTCTGTCTGTGGACGAAAGGGGAAGTCAGAGAGACAGGCAACCGGGAACATTTCCTAGGGGCTGAAAGTGATCCATGGTAGAAGGTCATCAAAACACAGGAACCCTGGTCCCAGAACTGCAAGCGCAGAGTTTCCGCCTCACGTGCCCTTAGCAGAGAACACAGTCCAGTCCGCCAGCACTTCTAACCTACAGAACTCGGAGATGACATATGGGTACCGTTTAAAGCTGCGCAGTTTGTGGTAATTTGTTAAGGAAGCAAGGAGAAAATTAACGCGATAGGCAAAAGGTAGCAACTAAAATTGGCTGCAATATGGTACGTTTCTGGATTCTGAAGATGAAGTCTGCCTTTGCTATCTCCAAAGATGAAAATTAAACCTGAATAAGCAAAAATGGAAATTTTGCCTGACTAGATTAACGACCAGTGAAAATGTTATGGTTCAGCTTTGTTTTTAAATAAAGTCTCAGTTTTGTAGCATCGGATTTTGGAAGATGACTGAGATGGACTTTAGATATTTTGATACTTGTCTGTGCACAGCAGAAAGCCATTTGAATGCTGTTGGATCCGGGTTCTCTGTGTTGGGGGGTGTGTTTTCCCAACTTTTCAGGAAAGAGTGTGATGTTCTGGTTTTCTCCTCCAACTCAAGTGTGCGCTGCTGCCTCCAAATTCATGGGAAATCCTACCCCGAATTATAAGGCCTGGCAAGTCCAGCCACAAATGAAACAGGTTTGAGAATGTGGGCTTTATCTAGCAAAGTGTCGAGTAGTGTTGAAACCTTGGGCAGCCTTTTTCAGACTGTGGTGTTTTTAATTTGTATTTACCACGGAGAAACCTGTTCTGGCAAGTCTTAAATAATTGCCCCAAACACTGTGTGTTTTCTGGATCTCTTTGTGTCACAAGGGGAGGGGAGGACCAGCTGAATGGTCGGTATTAACTGTATTCTCTTAGTACATTGTTAGCTAGACTGACTGGCGTTAAGTACACGAAAGGGATTCTGCTGTCCGTGTTGGTGTGAGGTGGAAGACGGCTACTAGAAACTGTTTGCATGTTCTGAAGCTCCCCACGTCCACGTCAGTAAATCATTTTGTCAGCTCGAGCTCTTTGCGATTGATTAGGAAGCAGGATGCCTCCGAATGATTCACGGAGAGGAGATTGTAATCTGACTGCTTCACCGGATTGTATATGATCCTGTTTATCATCTTCTCTTTCCTTCAGCAGGAAGACTAGAGAGCTTTCTGTAGTTTCCCGCCCTAAGTGAAAACATTGCTATGCGGCGCTCTCCCCTCTGGCGACAACGGGGCACAGGCTTCAAGCTGCCGAGCTGCCGTTTACACCATAACGCAGGGAGGGCTTTTACATGATGTAAACTGCAGCTAGTGCGAGAAGACCCGGTCGCCGTCCGGGCACGTGGCCTTTGCGGTAACGACTCTGTACCCAGCAAAACTAGTACCCACCGGGGTATTTTCTTTCTTTTTTATAGCTATAAAAGAGTTTAGAAAAATGACTGAAGGCCTCTGAAGTGAATATATAAAAATCTATTGATGGGTGAATAGACAGATGACTTCCATTTAGATTTATCATTGGTCGAAGTAATTGCTAGTGATTTTTAATGCACATTCGGACAGAGTCAAATAATGTCTGGCGAGGTGATATTGTGCAGAGACTATGGGCTAGTGAGTTCGAGCGAGCTTGTGTCTAATTTCCAGCTCACACCATCTGAGCGTGCATTTCCTGAATACGACAATAAAATGTGCCACTTTATAGAGCTGTTGCGAGTATTTGACAATCATCTATCAAGTAGGTTGTACAGTTCTTTTTAGTCGTTAAGTATTAATTCTTGTTTATATGGACTTAGCTACAGGGCTTGACTCTTATGGTGAGAATGACCGTAGATGAGTTACACTGTTTTGATGTACTTCTACCTCGAAAATGAAGCAGTGTAGTTACGTGAAACAATTTAAGCAAAGTAAAAGCAGAGACTACCTTTTGATACCCTTTCTGGTTTTGTTTGATACTAAAACAGATTACTTATTTCCATGCATTTTTGGAAGTACATGGAAGGCATTGGACGCTAACGGGAATGTATCAGGGATATTGAAAACATATTTGTGCTGATTAAAATCAAACAGTGTGTGCAGGAACTAACAACTGGTTCTGGATAAGTTATGAGAAGAAATCAAGAACATTTGGGTGAAAGTACTCAGCTATGGGAAGTGGTGCATTTACGTAAAGCAAGGATAATAACGTTTGAAAAAATATTCAACGCAAGTGGATCTTAGCCATACTTATTTAGTTTTCTGCACTCCACAGGCGGAAAATACTAAGGTTGATTGCAATCAAGACTGTCTTGTGAGGCTGAGACAGAGAAAGGACGTTCGCGGGCTTCCTGAACCACTTTCCTATTTCCGTTCTGGGGGATGACTGTATCTTTGCTGCTGTTTCACAGATCTACTTACGATTCTTGGACTACGAGATGCAGAATTCAAACGAATGCAAGAGGAACTTTGTGGCCGTGTACGACGGGAGCAGCGCGGTGGAGGACCTGAAGGCGAAGTTCTGCAGCACCGTGGCTAACGACGTGATGCTCCGCACCGGCCTGGGGGTCATCCGCATGTGGGCCGACGAGGGCAGTCGCAACAGCCGATTTCAGATGCTCTTCACGTCCTTTCAAGAACGTAAGAATCTCTGCACTTGACTGTCTGTCCTTCAAATATGTCATGTGGCGCAAACCTCATAAACCGTGAATGGTGTTTTCCTCATGCAGTGTGAGCACAGCAGGGTGAGCCTTAATAAGCTGTTCAAATAGCTGAGATCCCCTTTCCTTCACTTTGATCCAGCGACGGGAGAGCTACATATTACATTTTGATTACTTATTTCAGTATATGCATCAGAGCCTTGCTTAAGACAGTTCACACTACTACTCAACTGGGTAATGATGGATTTTGTCTGTCTCTGGTTTGGCTCTTAGGAAGCGCACAGAGCTGATGCATCAGTTTCTAATGAAGTTTGAGTTTAAATCTTAAAAACCTGCATAAAAATCTTTGGTAGGTTCCTTCAGTAAGCTTCTCTTGCAGCTCCGTTGATTTAAAATAGGTCTGTGACTACCGAGTTCCAATTAAAGTACGCAAAGAGGGAGAATTGCTTGGGAAGAGAGTAAATACAAAAAGTTTCGAAAAATGTTTTAAATGGCACAATGGGTGATACTCAGAGTGCTGGGCAAAACACAGCAATTTTAGAAAACCATGTTCCAACAAATGATGAGTCATGTTAATAGATGTATATTTGGAATGTTCTTTAGAAACCCTGAACAACTCATGCCTAATACATTTATACAAGGGAAAAAAACCCTAAGAAATTCAGCTTTAAGGAATCAGTACCTTGTCATTTGAAGCTATACATTAAAAAAAATAGAAAAAGCAAAATATTTTTGAAGGATCAAGGATTTCTCAATGATAGGTACAGAGGCCAGTATTTTTTTTTTCAGTTCAAAAATGTTACATGTATTAGATGATTATTTTATATCAAAAAGAAATAATTTTGGCTTTAAATTCCTCTCTAATTACCCGGTTGGAGAATCTAGGGCACCAGAAGTACTGTCACCCCGTCTTTCTAAATATTGACACCATCACAGAGGAAGTGAAATCTGTCCTGGAATTACTGCAGATTTAAACAGCGCCTTGCCATCTCTGTCTTTGTGTCAGCACTTGATTAAAATGTTACAGGTAGTGCATTTTTATTTCAGCAAAATATCTGGTCAAAAAAACTTCTTCTCATTTTCTTGCTTAGAATTTGAAGAAATCCAGGCGATAAGATAGCACATTTGGTGTTTTCACCGATGATTGCTCTACCATATCCAATAGACTCTGCCTTTGGTGAGAGTCAATGTGTGCCTTATTCAATATTTCCATCAGCCTTACATAATCGTAGATTGGAAACATCTGTCTAATTTAACAAATATGGAAGGGCTAGGTAATATGTTAGATTATATAATTAAGTTTTTAAAATAATAAAAAATACACAATTTTTATCAAAGTGATACCATAAAATGTAGTCAGGATAAATTAAAATATATAAAATATGTATTCTTACATTTCAAGTATTAAATAAATAATATAAAGGAACCCTGACTTCTAGGATTTCCGAAGGTTTTAGTTTATTCAAACTCGATATGCACCAATAATTTTTTTTAATTGGCAAAAAAATACCTTGCACAGTATTAGCTTATATTAAAGAAAGTGAGATCAGCAGCTCAAAGATGCTCTCACGGGAAGCAGCACTGGTCGAAACTCAAGCCGCAGACCCGGTCCTCTTCTGCGCGTCAGCGGTCAGGCGCTGCGTGACCAGTTAGAAGGGGCTGGCCGGGACGCAGACGCATCCAGGATCATGGGAAAGGCCAAAGGAGGACTGTTTATCTAGAGATTTCTTTTGTTCGAAATGTGATGACTACCTTAGACCTAGGAGGGTGATATGGATTAACGTCTGAGAGGTAAGATTAATGTTTGTTAAATTAATTCTAGGAAACCGTTTGTAGTTCAGGGGGAAAAAATGCCTAGCTCATAGGAACCATGATATTTCAAAACTGAACAGATTCTCACAGAGGTTATAGACTCTGGAAAGAGGGATGGTTCGGTCTGAAACCCAATTCCCATCTGGCGTGACTGGCGTAGAGGAAGTGTTTGTGCTGGGCGGGGAAAAGGAGGACTAACCAACGTCTAAGGTCCCTTTCCATTTGAAGATAAGATTTGTGAGTCTTTAAAATTCTGCTTACTTAAGAAATGATGACTTATATCATACTGTGTATATATCATTAGAGATATTTCTATTTGAGCTAAAAGACAGAGTTTTCATGTTATAATTCAGTGACTTCTGGAAGCCATTTAAGTGGGTGGACTTCTCAATCATTAACCCAGGAGAAACACGGTATTTTTCCTGCACAGGAAGAAGGCACCCGCCTTTTATGTGCCTACACGGAGGATGGATGATTACCCTCACTGGAAAGCTGAGGACTCAATAGTCATTTTCACAAGTATCTCATGCACTTACAGGACACTTTGACTGAAACAAATTTGCCCTCTGTGGCATGTTGCCTGTGTAGTCTTAGGATCACTTGTTTTTTCTGTGTTGACTAAAACTGTGCAGAATTCTGCTACGACAGGCTGAGATCAAAGTCACCAGGTGATGAAGTACATGGGTTGTAGACTTAGTCTTTTTGTTTTGAAGTCAAGGTGTTCCGGGTAAGAGATGAAAGATTTTAAAACAATAGGAAGTGGACTTAATCAATTCTCCTACTCAGAAATGGGTGGTACTGTCTCTGTTCCACACACACGCACGCATGGGATAAAGGTTAGAGATGTGCAACCAATGAACAGCGTTCTTCTTACTCAAATAATAAGAAACCCCCTTGATGTTTTTCTGGGTTCCTGTATTTATTGGTCGGTATCCCCAGTGCAGTGCTGAGAAGCACTTAGGGGCATACTCAACAATATTCTAATATCTGTCAAAATGTCTTATGTTAGGACCATAGGGCATTTTTAGAAGTTAGACAAGAGCTTGGAAGCCACCTGTTTCAAGCCCAAACATTTTATGCATTCAAACATTCAAACAGAAAAAAGGAAAGAGCCAAGGAAGTTAACTGACTTTCTCTGAATGCCTTCAGCGCATGCTTAATGATTTGTTAACGGCGCTAAGGCAAGGATGTAAAGCCTGATGCCTGAGATCAGAAAGTCTCCTGGGGATAACTTTGTCACATTTAAGGGACGGACAGGGCTCCCATTTTCTAAAGATGATGATAATGATGATGATGATGGTAAAAACAGCAGCATTTCTGCATCATTCATGTAGCTTACATATGTCAGCAAGTTTTGCTGGCTTTACAAACTGAATTCTGATTCTTCTGTCCTATCTATTGCATCTTATGTCTGGATTCTGTGCCCACACTCTGTAATCATACATAATTATACAGTAGCCCGCTGTCTCGTGACTGCAAACATTAGACTAAAGTAGAATCATAACAAAGGGCTTCTGGTCCGGAACATATTGATCCGAAGACTAATGGTCACAAATAGGAATATAGTTTCACATCAACTTATTTTTACATTTGTATCTGAATAAATTATAGAGAAAGGGAAGAATGCGTGTATAAGGAAGAGGCATAGAAATTCTAACTGTGAGTCATCAGACTTTGAGATTTCACATGCACATTAGAAGCATTTTATAAAGTCTGGATTAAATGCCAACATTTGCAGCAACAGAAGATATTCTCTAATGTCACAGGGAGCATATAGCTCACTGAATGGAGAAGTATTTACCTTCACCTGCATCTTGAGGAATAACGTCCTCTCTAGATCGAGCCCATAAATATTGCTCCTGCCTCCACTGTCTTGCTAACTCTTCACCTCAGCCTTTCTCAGCTCTACCTGAGACTCCTGCCCTGATGAATGATCTCACACTGCTGCTGGCTGCTGCTAAAAAACGTTAGCTTCAGAGGAATAGTATCCAGACTTCAGCCTGTTGAGCAACATTGAAACCCAGCAACTAGAGGGAAAAACAGTCAGTATTATCAACAAAGAGACACTGTCTCACTTCCTGAGATTATAGTCTTTTTAATACTTCAAATGTCATTTTTGTCCTTGGATTAGTCAAAATGCTTAGTCTACTCTTTAAAAATATTTTTTTTGTTTTACTTTTGGGAAGGAGGTGATTAGGTTTCATGCAATGTAAGTCTCATGTGATGTTTGTTTCATGGGCAGCACATTTCTGTTAAAAACAGACATGCAAGCAAAAGGAGATGGAAAGCAAATTTTTTCCTTTATGGATGTGGGGAAACTGTTTACAATAATTTGCTAAGATGAGATCATGTATTCAGTTTCATATCAATTTGGGACAAAAGGAGTATCGAGTCTGAACGACAGATTTATTTACAGTAAAGAAATATACATTCAATAACATTTTTATTTCAAAGAGGAATTGAACTGAAGGATTCTGTCGGGGGCAGAATTCTGAGATAAACCCGAAGAGCCCCACCTCTCAGTACAGAAGCATCTTGTGACATCCTTCCCTTGAGACAAGCAGAACTTGTGAGTAGCTTGGGACATCATTCTGTAATTAAATTACATTCTATGGCAAAATCTATTTTGCAAATGTAAGTAAGGTGTTTAGTCAATTGATTCTGAGTCCATCAAAAGGGAAATTACTTGGGTGGGCCTGACCTAATCAGGTGAGCTCTCTAAAATAAAGTGAAGCATGAGTCAGAAAGACGGCTGGCCTGGGAGAAGAAAGCAAACAGGTATGTTGTGAACTGCCTGCCTCTTAGAAGGGTGAACTCTAGCAGCTGAGAGCATCCCTGGCCACCAACTAGCAAGTAAATGGAGGCCCCAGTCATACACCTGCAAGGAACTGAATTCTGCCAACACTCTGAATAAGCTAGGGAAAGAACCCTAAGAACCAGATGAACGCCACAGCCCCAGCCGACATCTTGGTTTCACCTTCTAAGATCTTAGCAAAGGA